GGGGGCCGGACGGCGGCCATGGCGGCTCCGCTGAAGCGCTGCCTGGTGCGGCGGGGGGGCGGGCGGGAGCAGCACGGCCTCGCCGCCTCCTGCCTGCGGGAGCTGCGCGACAAGGGTGAGGAGGAGGGGGGACGCCCGGGGACCGCCCGGGGACCGCGGGGTTGCACGCGTCGCCGGTGGGAGGGGAAGCTCGGAGTCCCCGGTGGGCTGGCTCCCTGCAGGGCCCGCCCGCCGTTTTTGGGAAAAGCCCGATCCGTGCCGCGGAACTAGACCGAGGGAGAGCAGGTCTCCGGGTGACGCTTCCTGATGGGGGGAGGCGAAGGGAGGTGGGAATGAGGGTCTGCGAGTAGTTTCGCTGAAACGCGCCGCCTTCTGTGTGCATGCCGAGGTTTGCATCGAGGATGTTTGTTTCTGGAGGGGAAACTCGTATGTACTAAAAAAGAGCTGATGTGCAGAGCTGCGCGGGGACGGGTCCTGGTCTCCAGCCTAAATTACTAAGAGTTGCTTGTCTCTTGCGGTGGGTGTAGTAAAAGGGCAGCGCGTACGTCAGTTTTATTATTTCATTAAGTATTTTTTTCTGTTCTGCAGCTAGTGGCGTTCTGGCCATTGACAAGGCCAGGGAGCCCGTCACCTTAGTACTGGCAGAAGATGGCACCATTGTGGATGATGAAGATTACTTTTTGTGTTTGCCATCTAATACCAAGTTTGTGGCACTGGCCAAGAATGAGAAATGGTCCAGCAAAAGCTTAGGTACTCTGCAGATGAGGGAGCATGGAAGGGGAGCGGGGTTTGTAATACAGCTAGTGAAATTAGGCTGTCTCAGGTGGATCACTAATGACCCATGAAACTGATGACTCTTGTGTCAGACAGTGGAACAACCTGGCTCTCGGAGTCTGTGGATGAAGTGGACAGTGCTACAGAGAAGTGGAAGCAGCTGGCCAGGCAACTGAAGGATGACCTGTCTAATATCATCTTGATGTCTGAAGAAGACCTCCAGGTACAGTGGGGAAACCTCTAATTCCTCTCCTTGGCCCTGCCCATCATCCATTTATTTCAGTAGATGGCAGAGAACAGAGTAAGTAAACGAGATCTCAAGCTTAGTTCAGCTGCTGCTCTTTGGCTGTGGTGCTAGAGTCAAATTTGTCCTTCAGGGGAAACAGTCGTGAGTGTCTGAAGAGGATGCTCTTAATCACTGATTGTCCCTCACAGGCTGTCTTTCCAGTTCTGGCAGCGTGAGGGCAAAAAGTCAAGATTTGGCCAAATAGCAACTGAGGTGGGCTCCTTCCTCAAAACCAGGCACCTGTGTAATGTGCCAAAAGGGAAGGCTGAGCAGCATGCCAAATCTGCTCCAGAGGGGCTTGAAGAACTGCTGTCAGTTTCCAGAGCTGATTGATTGGAGTATCTGACTGCTGAACACCCCGTATGTGGTGAGGCATGCTGATAACTGCCTCTTCTTGTCCTCCTGCAACGTGCAGCTTCCCAAGTGCCAGGCTATTGGCTTTCCTTTGCGTATTCCCATGCACTCTTAAGAAGCGGTACTTTGATTGCCAGGAGTTGTCAGGATTTCTGTTAAAAATGCACGTGATTCCACACCTTCCTGGATGCCCTTTGGCTTCTGGTAAAGAGTGCTGACTGGTGGAGTGCTACTACAGCCTCTCATAACCAGGCTGGCTTGCTATGACAAGAAACATGCAGGGTTTCATGAAGGTGGAGGCTTTGTCATGCAGGAGGCTCGCTGTTTGTACTGTAATCAGTGTAATGGAATGAGTTACTCAGGCAGTCCATGTAACAGGAGCACTCTCATTGTTTTAAGGTGCTTATTGACGTACCACGTTCAGACCTGGCAGAAGAACTTGCCCAAAGTCAAACCAAAATCCAAGTATTGCAGGACACCCTGCAGCAGGTGCTGGACAGACGAGAAGAAGAACGCCAGTCAAGACAGCTCCTGGAACTCTACCTAGAAGCCTTGAAAAATGAAGACAGTATCTTAAGTAAAGTAGCAGGTAGGGAGCATTAGGATGTTAGAGAACGAGCCTTTCAGAGATGCCTGGAATAGTTGAGTGGAATGAATTAAGGCACAGCAAAGGACTGGAGTGAGTCACTTGCTTAGCAGCTCTTAATGTGGTTGATGTAATAGGTGGTATAGTGTAAGAGTTCTCTGACTGGGTGAGAGCAGGAGTCCTCTCACTGCTGCATCACATTTCTCAGAATGCCTGGAAGTAGAATACTGGGAGAAAAGCTTAAATCATGGAGTCATCCTTAACGTTAAGGATTCCTTAAGTTAGAGGACGTACCTAGATAGAATGCATATTTTATTAATCTCAAAACCATCAAAGCAGTCCAGGCCACTTTGCCTGTCCTGTGTTTGTCATGGGCTATAATGATTCTGCTACTTTTCAGAATCTGAGACTGTACCAAGAAGGGAGATGGATGTGGTTGACACAGGCACCAGCAGTACAGGCACTTCAGCCAAAACAGCACTCAGTGACCAGATCCTTGCTGCTCTGAAAGAGAAACCTGCTCCAGAGCTCTGCTTGGACAGTCAAGATCTAGAGGTGGGTGAGAATGATATAACCATATTCTGGCAAATCTCTCCTTCTGGAGAGAGAGGTTATAGGGGAAGGTGTCCTTGCTTCTGGAGGCTCTAATGTCAATATATCTCAGTCTCAAAGTGGTGAGATTTAATCTATTTCTCTTCCTCAGTAACACTATCCCCTGCTTGGAGCTCCTCTGTAGTAGCCAGTTGACACTATTCCAAGTACTCCAGTCTGTCCTCTGAAAAGCCACAAAATAATTTTGGTTTTGATCTCTGCCAAAACATAGTGAGCCAGTGCTTCAGCTGTCTCACCAGCAACTTTTTTTTGTATGCTATATTTCCTTTATACATCCCAAATCAAAATAAAAGCCTCCTTATTTTGGAAAACAGTGTAAATAAACCCATAGCTTGGAAAGGAAAGTCTACGTAAACTAAGCATTATAAAGTGTGTTCTTTCTAATGCTATGAACTTGCTCCTCATTTTTTCCTACTGTAGAAACTAAGTAACTGCTTTCTGTTCCTTTGAACATCTGAATATAGATTCAAGCTCTAAGTGCTGGCAGAATATTGAAAATCCACTAGTCCGCAGGATAGATGATGAAAGCTGGGAACTTCTTCAATACCAAATTGCCAGTATTAAACAGGTGTCTTATTACTGCTGTTCTGAATGTGGGCAGAGGGGTTAGTGGTGGAGGAGCATCAGTAGAAAAGACTGTGAGAAATCTGTCTTGCTACAGCTGGTCTTGAAAGAAGACACACAAGCCCTGGCCTCGGCTCTGAGATGGGACAAGCAGAAAGCTGAAGCTCTGCAGCAAGCCTGTGATCAGGAGCTTTCCAAGCGTCTACAGCAAGTGCAGACTTTGCATTCCCTAAGGAGCACATCAAAGGGCAAGAAAACGCTACCCTGGGGAGACTGGCCTAGTTCAAAACGCAAAAAATAAGACTGTAGTGCTGCTCGCAATTTTTTCTGTTTTGTTTTGGTTTTTCTTTTGCATTAGAATCAATACAAGCAAGATATATCCTGGGAGCCATAGTTTGCTGGTCATACTGTGGTCTGGCTATAGACAACTAAAATCTGGACATTGTCCTGAGGCTTAAACTCCTGTGATGATTCAAATCATGTGTAACCAAAGGGATTTTGACTTTCTGTGGAATACTAGGACAATGGTGTTGCTAAACACAGCATGTAAGGGTTCAGCTTTGAATACCTGGTTGGGAGCCAGAAGCTTCCATCAGATAATGATGGATCTAGCTTCTGAAGCTCCAGGGAGTTTGCTTACTTTGTCCTCCCACCATTTTCAATGTAAAGGATGGAAGACCTCTGGAAGACACTTTGAGGCACAGTTAATGAACAGGGCAGAGAGGTTAGCCAGCTGCTGTCTGGCTTTAAGCTCCAGCCTGGAATCTAGGAACTTGAATTCTCATGCTAATTTCATCAGTTAAAGTAAATTCAGAGTCCTTTAACTTCTGTGCTTTTTCTGTAAGGAACTCCTTTTGGGTGCAGTGTAAGCACTAACATATAAAACACAGCAAAGATGGAAATAATTGCTTTGTAAGGCTGTGGGGCAGAAGACTTGTATTTGGCCTGTCTGTATTACTTTCCTAATCATTAGTGTAGTATCATGGTGCTTTTGTATTAACTGGCTTATTTTTTAATTTGTTGAAGTCTTTTTTTTCTAATATCATTAAAACCTTTTTACCTTACTGTTGGATTAGTTTTGAATGTGCTGGTAAGTGCAGTATTACCTTAAGGATAGAGGAAGAAGAAATTAAATACAGAAGTACTCTGTATTTAACCTGTCCAAAGTATTTAGGTAGAATGCATGTTCATACTGGTGACACTGCACCAGAATTCTCACCTGGCACAATCTGTTCTTCTCTTATGAGAACAGAAGATGTATATGAAAAAAATCTGAAAAGCGAGCTGAAATTTCAGAGAAAGTTTTAGTAGGTACAAATGTTTTCTAGTATCGTGCAAAACCCTCTGATTTAACATAACCTTAAATGGTGCAGGATGCCAACTGATGAGTATTCCTACAGCAGGCATTCAGATGAACGTGTTGCATGTAGACATTCCAGTTGAGTTATGGCATACTCGAAGTTAGATTCATGAATACTCTAAACAGTTTAGTGCCTTTCAGCAGGTAACCAAAAATACATCAGATGAAGCCACCTGTATGGGAATTAACTGGACTTAGGGGAGAAGCTTTAGTCAACTTTTTGGTCAGTCTCTTTTGCTAGGGCAAATAATTGCTTCTTACAATATACACTTCTGGCTTGTAACATTATAGGCCATGGCGGGTAAAGGTTTCCTGCTGCTTTAAGTAGCTACTTATTACAAGCTTTTTATGTTCAAATCTTTCTGAAATAGCATATATGGCTGTGCATCAACAGAGTTTTTGAAGCATGCTCTATTGCACTCAAAGCTAATTACACTGGCTACCAATTGAAATAGCATGCATTGAGTAGACTAGCTGTCAGCAAGCTTTTTCTGTGAGCTTATGTCTCAGCTTGTGACTACCACTCTCTCCATTATAAACCACTTTTTCAGTCTTACTAAAAGCTGCAATGCTTTTTCTTTTTTCAAGCTCAACTTGGCAATGGAAATTCTACTCCTCAAGCTGTACAAGAGGAAAGGGTTTTACTTGTGGCTTTTCCACATCTACTTAAAATAGCAGATAGCATAATTACTTCAATCCTATGTGTATTAGTAATATTTAACTCACCTACTTCCAGGCAAACACTGAGATGGAGTCACAGAGACCATGCTGATCTTTCTTGTAGGAAGGCAGTGATGGTCCTTCCAATCTAGCCTTAAGGAAAAAAACAAATGGAGGGGCTTCATTGCTGCTTTCTCCTCTTTTCTGTTATCAAGGTTAGAGCCCTTTAGTTGCCTGTAAATTATTAAATGCTGCAGTTCTTATATTACAGAATTCAAATTATCAACTAGACCTACCATAGTATGTTTTAAACTCTTACTTTTGTCTTAATTGTTCTGTTCTAATAGAAAAAAAAAGTCAGATTTTCATGATCTGATGGGAGCTGCAGTTAAACTATTTTAAAGTTGAGCTGGCAGTTTAATAGTAACATTGACTATTGTTTGCAAAAAGAGCAGGTATATAATACTTAATTCTCTTTAAAGCTCTGTTATAGTCAACATTCTTCAAAAGTCTCCATGAAAAAGGAGAAGCAATTAACTACTGTCCAAGAGACTTCAATGCTGGATATCATCCTGTAATTTCTATTAAAAATCCTTTTTTAGGGGTCAGGTTTATCTATTGCTTCTTGGATCTCTTTCAATAGTGCAATCAAACAAAGGTAAAAACTGCTAGAACATCTCCATGAGATTTTTAAACCTAACAGTACAGTTATCTGTAAAAATGGGTTTGGTTTTTTTTAGCGTAGACTTTACTATAGATCCCTAGATCATGATATTTTGGAAGTCGGTTCGTTCATAGCTAGAAATTCCTGTTGGTGATAACAAAGAGCTGCTGCAAGATCTAATATTTCCACAGGAAATAATCACAAAGCTTTTCAGTAAACAATCTTTAGCCATTGGCCAGCACCTTCTGTGTACCAGTAGTGTACATGCATGTGTATTTGGAAAGGAAATAACAGAATATTTTAGCTGAAGACTACAGACATCATAGCTAACAAACTTTGAGACATATTTCTCTTCCTGACATGTTGGGCTTAGTGACCTAAAAAAAAAAAAAAATCAGGTAGGCTGTATAATAAACATCCACTAGGCCTTCCTCTTGCAAGACAGCTACTATGTTATCAAAATGATTGATGTTTCTAAAGGCCTAGGAGTCTTGTGAAATAAGTATCAATTTTCTACTCAAGAAAGGAACAGGATAAACAACAGAAGCAAATCAAATAGAACTGCACATGTCTTGATAACAAGACCCCTACCAAAGTTGCTCGCTTAGAGACAAAACAGTAGATAAGAGCGAAAGGTACTTGGTCATTTTTTTGCTTATCTTCCCCATGCAAGTTGGGAGAAACTGTCCACCTAAAACATGCTCTGTAATCTAATTTAACCCCAAATTAGATATACATTTTTGTAGACATGATGTTTGATTCACTTAAGCTTATTTAAGCTGCATGGATACTTTTAACTATGTAAAAATTAGCATTTCCTTGATCTTATTCTTGTAATATTTAAGAAGCTTTAACTTTTGAACAGGGTGACTGACCTGTCCACGATTCATGAGGATGGATTTTGTATAGGTGTTCAAGAGGGAGGGATACAGTATGGAAGGTATAAAACATAGCCAGAAGACATGTGAAAACCTAGGGTGGCCACCATTACGCTTTTTTCAGGTAAAAATTCTAGAAAGTCAAAGCCTTGAGTGAAAGTCTTTATCATTAATACATTCAAGTAGTCAAACCTACCTTGTAACAGATTTCTTCTTCAGCAGTAGATTTGCCATGAATGGGTATCCTCAATTAATGGTCTTCAATGCTGCATTAATGATTTGTCCCTTAAAGCACCAAGAAAAACTTTTTGCATCTTCTGTGGGATTGGGTTGATGACCAGGGTACATTAAGGTAAATAAAGCCTCATGAACCTCAAGAAAGCAACTAATGTATAGTGGCATTAAAAAAAAACAAACAAAACCCAAAAACAAACACAAAAAACCTCCACCACAATATGAAAACTGAGTAATGTAAGCACTGGCATGCCAAGAGGACATATTTCCTGTTGAGTACGGAATTGCTAGTTTATTACCCACCTAGCCTACATCAGTCAGTAGAAGAAGAATTCTAAAAGATATCTCATCCCTGAAAGTGGAACGGTTTGGGATAGGGGAAGGGGAAAGTGAAGGGTCATTGTGTAAAATTTCCTGTATAGAGCCAGAGATAGGGATTCATGACATTCCTATTTTCTTCTACATTGATTGTAGCACTTGATTTTATTTGATCTATATTGGATAGCTACAGCCTGCGAAAGGCATGGCTTTTTTCCCTATCCACTACTGTTTAATAGCTCGAATACAGAGCAAGAATAAAAGGGAGCACATGCAAGGAGTCCAGAGCATTACTCTTTTTCCATTATGTCATGTATAGCTGAGTGACTCTAGTCCAGAAAGTGCACTCTTCTTTCAAGAGAAGAGTTTTAAACAAGGAGCAAGGCTACACCTAGGAGTTCTCAAGGGTGATAAAAAATATTCCATCCTCTGGTACGTTCTTTATCTTGGGGTAGTATTTAAGGTATGAGTCTTACTAAAATGAGATGATTTTAAACTTGGTTTTGGGGAATTGCTCTGAGCTGTATCCTTTAGGAAGGGACAAGTGGCTTCGAGGAAGAGCTTATCTCATGAATTAAGGGCTGAGCAAGAGAAACAGTTTTCAATTCTTTCCTCTTTTGCTGCATATTTTTTACTATCCTTGGCAACCATATTCTTGCTTGATAAAGTTTGCCCACGCAGTAGCTTAAGCAGCCTTCTCATTTCACTTGGCTATATCTATCTAATAATACCTTACGTCTTTATATCTGCTTCTTTGGAATCAACAGCATTTGCTAAGTCTCTTTCAGTCCGGCAGAGGGCAATAGTGATACATTCCTGACCACCACTCCGGAGCCATATTACTATAGTAAAATTAGAAATGTAGTGCAACTTACTGAAAGTGAAGATTGTACACCGGTATCACAGGTGAAAAATGACACCAAACATGTTTTAATTGTTAAGACAACAAGTGAGAGATAATGCTATTAAAACAAATATATTCAAAATACCTAAGCAAAAGTATCAAAAATGGAAACAAGGAGGGAGTCAAACAATTACTGGAGAAACTAAGTCGCAGCATGGAGGGAGTTCCACATATTGAGGTATTACCGTCAGTGAGAATGTTCTGCTTTAAACTCTTTATTTAAAGGATTTTCTTTTTAATAACAGTAAACATAGCTTTTTGTCAGCAATTAAGGCATTTTGGCTGTAAGCTTTACTAAATTCTGACAGACCTTTCATTTCTGGAACAAAAAAATCCAACTAATTGTGTTCACTTAAAAACCCAAAGATTCATTAGTGTTGCTAACGTGCAAGAGGAATCTCTAATAGGCTAACTTTGGTTCCTCTAGGACAATAAGAGAAGAATGACCAGAAACATTACTTGAAAGGTAAATCATGCCATGTTGGAATCTTCGCTTTCAGTCGCAATGACTTGTTCCCCAGAAGTTCTCCCTCCCTTAGCTGCACTGGACTTCTTTTTCTTCTTCTCCTTTTGTTCCATGTTACTTGATATGAGCTCATCACTCTTCTGGGTGATATACTTCAGCTGAGAACAAGAAACTCATCAGTCATCTACTGAGGAACTTCATTTATTCATGATAAATTACAGATAAATGTTTCAGAGAAATTAACAAGGCAAATTCTTACTACAAAAAAGATGACAGACACTCCAAAAAGGCTGACAAACATCAACTAGTTTTAATTCTTGCATGAAGCCCTCAGTCTAAGCTGGATATCCTCAGATACTGAAATGCCCTGGCAAGACTAGGATTTATAAATGTATGTTACATCCATCTCTACAACCAAGACGGCAACATTGGCAAACTACAACTCTGAGTAACTGCTGAGACACAATCTGAGTACATGTCCTGGTTTTGGCTGGGATAGAGTTAATTTTCTTTCTAGTAGCTGGTATTGTCTTATGTTTTGGATTCAGTATGAGAAGAATGTTCATAACACACTGATGCTTTCAGTTGTGGCTAAGTAGTGTTTATACTAAGTCAAGGATTTTTCAGCTTCTCATGCCCAGCCAGCAAGAAGGCTGGAGGGGCACAAGAAGCTGGGAGGGGACACAGCCAGGGCAGCTGACCCAAACTGGCCAAAGGGATATTCCATACCACGTGATGTCATGCCCAGTATATAAACTGGGGGCGAGTTGGCCAGGGTGGAATCACTGCTCAGGAACGAACTGGGCATCAGTCAGCGAGTGGCGAGCAATTGCATTGTGCATCACTTGTTTTGTATACTCCAATTCTTTTATTATTGTCATTTTATTAGTGTTACTATTGTCATAATTTTTTTTCTTTTCTGTCCTATTCAACTGTTCTTATCTCAACCCATGAGTTTTACTTTTTTTTTCCCTGATTCTCTCCCCCATCCCGCTGGGTGGGAGAGAAGTGAGTGAGCAGCTGTATGGTGCTTAGTTGCTGGCTGGGGTTAAATCACGACAGCACAGAGATACTGGAAGATTTCTCTGCACCCACTTAACGTAAACAGCACATGAGAGTTAGGAACACAAAATTCAGCTCCAACATTTACTATGCCTTCTCGGGCACGGTCGTGTTGCATATTTCAAACCACAGATGGAAGGAAAAAGTCCCCTCACATAAAATTAAAATTAGTATTGGAAGTATTCTTCTTCATGGAAGCATTTACAGGTATGTCGTAAACAATAAGTGAATTTAAGTCCACTGAACATCATACAGATCAGCACATAAGAGAATACAATAATGTGAATCATCCCTATATTAATGTTAGGAGACTTAGTACTGCAAGGTGGACTCAAGCTATTCCTGACCTTAAGCTAAAGCAGGGGAACACAAGATCAGGGAAAAAAACCAAGTGATTTATTTCCAAGATTGACAATGCTATAATGTGTCTGTTTATTGCACTTTTGTACTTGGAACCTCAGCAGCCCTGTTGCAACCAGAACATTGCTGCTTGAATTGCAATCACATCTGTGTGCCCACACAAATCCATAGTGTCATGAAGCAAAATAAGAGGAAAATTAAAAAAAATCACTGGATCATGCCCATCCATCATCTATAAGCCAGTGGAATTGCTTAAGCAACAGTTGCTTCATCATCTGTAGCCTTCATTCAAATGCTCTTAGGAATTAACGAGTTGGCTTAGGAATGTTGTGAGACAGAAAATACAGTGAATCTCACCAAAGAATTGCTCCTTCTAGCCAAAAGCTTCACATCCTCTGTAGTGACTGTGCTTCGTTTTGCATGCCTGCATAAAATTAAAAAATACCCCTTAATGTGTTTGCCAACATTGGTTGTAACAGGCCGTACAGCATCTAATTCAGAACACTAACTAAAAGGGCTTAACAGGGACCCAGTAAACCAAACATGCCTATCTTTTCCAACTATAATACACAAAAACCTATTTTACAAGTTTGTATGTGTACATCTAAATGCCCACACTTCCTGCGTAAAAACAGTAGAATTCAGCAACCAGAACCTCAAGCAGCACTGTTCCGTTCCCTCTTACTTGCCAGTAGGTCACTGTGTTAAGTTCTGACTCCTTTAAACATTCCCTTACCTCCTTGGAGCAACCAGATGAAACACAGGCATGCTAGTAAACATCTGTCACTCCCAAACCATCCAGTACTGCTATGTATCAACACATTTGACAATTATATATAGTCATTAATCTAAACAATCACTTGTACTACATAAATGAACTTCCAAGATCAGGAAGAACCTACAGGGGAATATCTATTTCCTAACTTCACAGCCACTATTTAATCAGCCAATAGAGCCCTTTAAAACTTTAATTACAAGATGTATTTTAAAGATTACCTAGTTATTGGAGCTGAACATAAAAAAAGAAAGCCTTTGTAACAATCAAGTGTTCCAGTACCTACCTTGCAAACATTTCGAGGTCTTTTGCAAAGTTCTCTGGAGAAAACACAAAGACACCATGTATTTTAAAATGCTAACTCTGAGTAGGAAGAGATATGTAACGCAGTTCTAGCTGTTACAAAGTGTAACTGCAAATTATCCAAGTTAGTTATGAGAAGCGACCATAACTTGTTATTACGTGCCACTCTTGCACAGGCAGGTGCCCCACACAATATTTCCACATACTTTTAAATACTTTTTCCAGGTCTGAAAACCAAAATCACTATTTCTTGTACTTTAAAAAATGTAGTGCAAGAAACAATGCACCAGTGATACCTAGTTCCAGTGCCGGGGGTTTTTTTTAAAGCATCGTTTCTCAGCAAGTGCTCTTGAACAAATAGATAATATGCAAACTTCCGTACCGCACTGCCTGAAGGTGATCTCTGCAATAGCTGCAATGGTTTGTTTGCTGAATTGCACCTCTTTATTTTCTGCAACATCCTGACACAGGCAGCCAACCGTGTAGTGAACCGCAGCCTTCAGCCTCTGAAAGGATCCAAAGCAGTGACAGGTCAGCTCTCTTTTGCGTAAACCATCAAGACTACTTAAAAGGACGCAACATAAACGACCGTTTACGGACCCCAGCACGCCTCGCAGCACCACATTTATCACTCTCTGCCCCACACCCCCCCCCCCCCACGGCTCCATCTTGTCCCGGCCGGGCCCTCCCCCAGCGTCCCCGGGGGCCAGCTCCGGCAACGGTAGGAGCGGGGCCGGAGCTGTGGGCCCGGGGAGAAGGAGAGGACGCCAGCCCCGTGGTACCTGGGTGAGAAGGACCCTCTCCTCACCGCCCGCCGCCTCCATGGCGCTGCCCTCAGCCGGGTTTCCCGCCCAGCGCGGCGGGGCGGGGCTGCGCCGCCGCCATCTCGGACGCCCCCGCCCCGCGCAGCCCGGGGCAGCGCCGTTACCTCAGCAGCGGGCCGTCGTCCGGGTGCTGCGGGAAAGGGGCCGCTGCAGGAAAGGGGCCGCTGCAGGAAAGGGGCCGCTGCGATGGAGACCCCAGCCCTCCCCAGCAACCGTCACCGCCCCGCGACGGGCCGAGGAAACCGCCGCGACCCCCCGCTCCCGCCTTGTGGCTGAAGAGGGGTGTTTGAAGGAGAGGGAAACCAAGTCCCGCTGTAGGGACGGACGGCCAGGACGGGGTGGGTGCGCAGGAGGCTTTGCACGTTACCCTTGAAGCTGCTGACGGGGGCACGATCTGGTTTTAAGCGGTGATGACAGCACCCGTCCTGTTCGAACACCTTGCGTGAGGGCTCTGGACCCACCGTGAAAGATCGTCCCTCGATCGGGAGTTAATGCGTGTGTCCGGGCGAGGTGAGCTAGTAAGAGAGATGTAAAGCAACATCAGGTGATGTCCCCATCCCCTCCCTTCCCCCTAAACGGTTCAGTTCAAATGAGGTGACAGAACACGCACGGCTCCCCATCACCCCAGTGAGGCGCACACTGCTCGCTCCGACCGAGCAGACGTCAGGTTTCAGCACAGTGGGATTCCAGGCAGTAGATATTCTTCTCAGCGCTACTATCGTACTAGGCACTAAAACAGATCAGTGGGGGAGTATGTCATTTTCCTCCAAAACACAACGCCTATGCACACAATAAACTGGCAAAACTGCTCCTACTGTTCACCGTGGTAGTTTCTAATACAATTCTCCTGCTGGAGAACCTAAACAACAAATGCTGGGGCAAACTGACTACTAAAATGTTCGTGACCCTCCCGTTATCACTACTGCCTGCAATTTGTCACACATTTATTTTATAGGATTCCTAAATCTTACCACATAATCTGCAGAAAAGGTGCTTTAAATGGAAAGTAATCTTTTGCTAATTATACAGATATTCAACTAAGTAGCTAACTGTCTTAGCAGAGATAAATGAAGCAAAAAATTAATATAACAATCAGTGGACAGCAAGAAATTTAAAACTTGAGAGGTTCTGAGGAGGGAAAAAAAAAAAGGTACAGGCACACAGGTGTATTTTCTGAAGTCCTAAAGATGACTGGCAGTGGGATTGCAGGAAGAGGATATCAAACATGGCCAACTTTGCACGCCACTGCAGGTATTTTTAATTGCCTCATGGGAAGAGGAGGCAAAGAAGCCAGGAGATTTGGGGAGAAGAGTGCAAGCACACAGCTAAGCCAACAGTTTATGCCAGAGCTTAAAGCTGGGAACAACAGTTGGAGGGAGAATGGCTTGGTGACAGAAGTATCAGTCTTGACACCCATGACCTGCATTCAAGTTTCTCCATGATCTATCCCACCCTTCACCCTTTCATAGAAAGCAAACATAGCTCACAGTGTGAAAGACTGTGTGCAGGTGAACACCCAGGAATTAACCTTTAAGAACCTACTGCCTGTTACGAATAAACAATGGCAACCAAAAAATGCCTTTACCTCCCTGGAATCTTGTGTAGCTTTACTGTGCTGACTGTCTGCCATTCTCCACTTTAGCAATTATTGAAATGCAATCATCTCTATCTTGATCCCTATGAGTTTATGCACTATAATACAATAAAAATATAATTTTAAAATGTATTCTATTAAATACCGCACAGAGACATTTTAGCCAGTTTTGGCCAGCAGCAGTGGAAAGAAAACACCTCAATGCCTTTATAAGCAAATTTATTTAGCTTTCTTATATGATATATATATATATGAAATATACCCACAAGTTATTACAAAAGTGTCCCAACACAAGTTCTAGCACAGTACAGTAAAAAGTGGTATTCTAGGAAGAATATCTGAGATCTACAGTATCTTGGCTTCAAGAGGAAATACTTCCAATTAGACATTGTAGGCAGAAGAGGACACATTTCCTCCATGGCCTGTCCAGTTAGTATGGATAAATACACCTGGCTTCGATAATAATTCATATGTATGTGCACCAAAGTAATCACGCTGAGCCTAGAATAAGAACACACACAAAATAGACAAATGAATATCAGAGTCTTATGAGTATTAGAAGTTGTACCTACTGATACTTGACTATAGGAATACTAGAAATAACATGTGACTCCAATATTATAACATTCAAACTTATTTTCTCATTATTAGCAAAATCACTGCAATGAAACATTTACTAACATTTAGTAATTAAGAGTTCTGTAGAAAGACAAGTATATTATTTCTACTAGGTACTAATCTAAAAAACAAGCACTTGCATACATCCTAAGGCTCAAAGATACTTACTTCTTTATAAAGCATTTTGATTCAAAGATATCATTACCCTTGGTTCACAGACGGAATACTAACACATGCTGGGCACCGTCATACCAATATCTCTGGTGTTCTTTATCCAGACATCTCATAGTATTTTATTGCTGTGAATTTCAGGTTTAACAGAGTTGTATTAGGCAATCTATGCCTTAATCTTTACAGTGTTGGAGTGATTAGGACATATTGCCATCATGGCCTTTAGGCCAGTATTTAAATAACAACATGATGATATTTCAGTAGCTAGAAGATCTGCTACACTATTTCAGGCACCTACCTGAATCAGGTTAGCTGGTAATATTTCATGCCTGTATCCATCATAAAATGAAAGTGCTGTAGTGAAGCAGGGCATAGGAATACCAATCTGTACTCCAGTACTGATTACACGTCGCCAGGAGTCCTGGGAAAGAGGAAAGGGGTGGGGGGTGGGGGCGGACGACAGAGAAGAAAAGAAAGAAACTAAGCAGTGCTCACTCAGAGCTATGTGCAGGCCTATGAACTATTCTAGTACAATGGCATGTACTGTTTCACGTTACATGAAATCTAATGACCAAGTCTGAGCAAATGCAGCAGCAGATTCCTGATTTTACATAAACAAGTTTGATCCAAAATAATGGCAAGTAAGATAGAGTTAACAAATGGGACAATAAAAGCGCAGACATATACCACACATGCAATCAAACCACAGCCGCAAGCAAGGATTATGTTCTTTCACATAAACATAATCAGTGCATCCCAAAAGTATCAACACAGCGGGGAACATACTGAGCAAACACTGAGGCACTTCCAGGATCTCTAATCAAGCACAGTACAAAGCCTGCCCAAAGGCATAAAAGGTCAGCACAATATTTCAGACAGACATGTGGATAATCCTCATTTCAACTGTACATGTGATTTAGTAACCTGCATGGAATATTCAGCTTCAGTTAAAAGAATTATTAATGATAATATATAACTTCTTTGTTGGTCAGATAATCTGGTTTTAGTTCTGCCTGTCAACTCCATCCAAAGCAGGACGCTGTTTGGACAGACCTAGGTCTAATGAATGGCAGGTCTGAACACTGTTATTTTGGTGCTACTGCAAACAATGGTAACAGAACAGAGCTTTATGCTCTGTACAACTGAAATCCAAGTGCACAGTAGGTGCAAGATGCAGGGCAGTGATGAGAATGTTCACACAGGCTAGACTTTTTTTTCCTCACATCACGGTTCTTCTGAATTGCTAGATTTCTGCCTAAGGCTCTTCTGTAACAGTAAAATGGAAACCTTAAGTTTCTAATAGTAGCTTGGCTAATATCAAAGAGAAGGACCATGACACAACAAGGACTATACGTTTGTTTGCTCCTGTGTTATCTTTAGGTTGACAGTACAAATATACCTTGCAACATCACATGAGACCTCAGTTCATTGCTTGATGTATCTGGACGCTGATTTATAAAGCAGTACTTCAGTGATGGAACCCCCTTTTTTTCCTGTCATTTAGAACTAACATTCTCCAATTTTCTGATGAAATAGAGGCAAAGAGGCATTTGTAGGCATTTTTTCAAGGACAGGTTGCTAACCCTGGTGTCTGGCAAAATTCTAATTTGGACCTCAGTATAGCCTACCTCATCATGGTAACTTTCTTGTTCAATTTCAACCAGCTCCAACTACGTAGTTTTTTTCCTGTCCTGATCCTATAAGACTGATAACCTTCTACTAAAGAAGGGTACCTTGAAGCCATAGATGATGAATTCCTACACCCATACATTATGTGCATACAGATACACATACACAGTCCCAAAGAGCTTAAGGATTGGTTAGAGATCTTTGGGATTAAGGATGCTGCATTCTCTACCTTTTCATTTTTTTAGTCTAAATATACTTGTGAAGGTAATTCCTGGGGAAGAAGCTGAAGAAGTTCAGACTGTAAACTATTGGGTTTTTTATGCTCTTCCTTCCTTGGAAACTCACCTGACAGTTTTCAACAGCTGTCTTAAAGAAATCATCCAACAGCAAATTCTGGAGCTCAGGGTTTCGATCAAAAGCATCTTTGATTTTTCCCAGGAACACACTAGGCAGAACACATGTAAACCAGGAATAAAGTTTCACAGCTTCCAACAAAGGCCCAGAATCCCAAACTTACAGTGCCAAAATTTAACTCAGCCAGACTCAGATTCCAAACATTGAGAAAGATGCAAACAAAACGAAGACCGAAGAAAATCTGCAGTAGCCAAACCACCACAGAATTGGCTTCATCTGGCAACCTTTAGTGCCGTCTACAGAGACAGCCTCTCAGTATCTTATCAGCAGATTAACTCCACGGATTTTCCAAGAAAATCTCTAGGCTTGTCAGTCTAGCACCCCATAAACTAAATTGCCTGCTCTTCTCCCCTCAGCAACTAAGTTACCTCCTCATCTTAATTACCTTCTGATGATGCAGCCTCCCCTCCACATTAGTGCAATGCCACCATAATTCAGTGTCCAGCCAAATTCTTTGGCTGCTTGTCTCAGCAGCATGAAGCCTTGAGCATATGAAATAATCTTGGAAGCATACAGGGCCTAAAAAAACAAATTCACAATCCAAGTGAAGTCCCACAAAGTTGAATGATTAACT